TCTTGGTGTTTGTCGTACATTCTTGAAAATCCTCAAACTGTCACTTGTGATTCATGCGCTTTCCTCTATGTGCATAATATTTTAATTAAAAAGGTATTTAAAACTTAAAAATATTAAGCTCCTGGGTATTCTGCTCTAGGAAGCCTTCTTTGGCACCTCAAGCTAATTAAAATAACCTCCTCCATTGATGGGGGTGCGGGGGGAGGGGGGGAAATGGGTGATGGGCACTGAGGAGGGCACTTGTTGGGATGAGCACTGGGTGTTGTTCATAAGTGATAAATCACGGGAATCGACCCCTGAAACCAAGAGGACGCTGTATACACTGTATATTAGGCAACTTGACAATAAATTATATTAAAAAATACAAATAAAAAAGGCAATAACCAAAAATAAAAAATAAAATAACCTCCTCCATACATATGTCTGTGTACTTGTGTCAAATTGTGTGCAATTGTGGGTTATTGGTCTCTCTCTCCTCTAGGGGCTTTTCTTTCTTTCTTTCTTTCTTTCTTTCTTTCTTTCTTTCTTTCTTGTTTATTTTTTTGAGAGGGAGAGAGGGAGCACGAGCTGGGGAGGGGTAGAGAGGGAGACAGAGGCTCTAAAGCGGGCACTGCATTGAGAGCAGAGAGCCCAACGTGGGGCTCAAAATCACAAACTGTGAGATCATGACCTGAGCCAAAGTCAGTCACTTAACCGACTGTGCCACCCAGGCGCCCCTCCTCTAGGGGCTTTTTAAAGGGAAAGACTATTTCTCATTATCCTTGTAACAGGAGGACCTACCACAGTGTTTGGCAAACTAATAAGTGCTCAGAAGATAGATGATACAGAGACAAATGACTCCTCTCCTTCTGCTTGGAAGAAATGTGGCCAGCCCGATCGATTGTAGTCACCAGAAAATGGAATTTGATTCTAGAGTTTTGAGATAGAATTCTGCTCCCACCAAAATCAACAACTTTTACTAGAAACTGAAGAGTTAAGCTAGGGTTGGGTAGAGGAGAAGCCACGTGCAAATACCAGATTCAAAGCCTAGGACAACAGAGATTAGAATTGAGGGAATTCAGTCGGTTAGGTGTCCAACTTCGGCTCAGGTCATGATCTCACAGTTCGTGGGTTCGAGCCCCGCGTCGAGCTCCGTGCTGACAGCTCGGAACCTGGAGCCTGCTTAGGATTCTATGTCTCCCTCTCTCTCTGCCCGTCCCCCGCTCATGCTCTGTCTCTCTTTTTCTCAGAAATAAATAAAGCATAAAAAAAGAAAAGTTAAGAATTGAGGTAATTCAAGGAGATCAAGTTTAGAGCATAGACAGGACAGAAATAAGCCCAGTTGGGTCCTGGTGATGGCGAGAAATGCGAGCTGTGATTTGGGCTCTGAGTTTAGAGTTTAAGTGTTGTGAGGTGCCTGCACAAGTCAGGCTTATGGGGTCAAGGGATAGAGAGACAGCCGGTTGGGCAAGAACTGGGGCCACTGGGTGAGACGTAGGGGTTCAGATACAACGTATTTCTTTCAAAGACAACTATCATCAAGGAGTGATACTCCAGTCAGTGTAGAAATCTGTGATTTGCTTTTAATTCACTGTCCCCTTTGCAACGTTCATATCTAATCACTCTTCCCTTCTAAGTCTGTAAACTGGTTTATGCTTCTCATTTCTAATTCGCACTGATACCAACTCAGTCGAAATATATGTTGAACGGCCCAAAAGATAGGTAAAGCCATTAAACTGCGTCTCTTTGGGGAATTTGAAAACATCGCCAAGTAGCTAATAAGGGAGCTGAACAGGAATGCCTGCCTGGCCGGCTCATTTGGTGGAGCATGAGACTCTTGATCTCAGGGTTGTGAGTTCGAGCCTAATGTTGGCTGTAGAGAATACTTAAAAATAACATCTTAAAGGGGCGCCTGGGTGGCTTAGTCCGTTGAGCGTCCAATTCTTGATTTCAGCTCAGGTCATGATCTCACAATTTGTGGGATCGAGCCCCTCGTCAGGTTCTGTGCCAATAGCTCAGAGCCTACTTGGGATTCTGTCTCCCTCTCTCTCTGCCCTTCCCCTACCCACGGTCTCTTTTCTCTCTCAAAATAAATAAATAAACATTTTTAAAAATTAAAAATAAAATAAAATCTTAAAGAAAGATAAGGGAGGTGAACAGGGGGGAGCCCTTTGGGGGGAGAAAAGGAGACTCAGAGAGACAGAGGCCATGTGGTCCCTGAAAAAGAGACAGAAAAAGCAGTCACTATAACCATCTCAGTTGCATAAAACCATCTCACTTTTCCAGTTAGTCTACCTGTGGCTAGAAAATAAATCTCCTTTTTATGTGCAAATTGAGCTGGGCTCTGCAACTAAATGAACTACATCAGTACAGGGAGACTTTGGAGTCACAGGTATAGAAGCTGAAATCTACTTTGGTGAAACTGACCATGGGGCTAGACTGTGGTGACTGAGATAAGGTGCAAAGCAATTAGCCCCACGACGGGTATAAGGTCTGCACTCAAAATTGGTAACTGATGTGTCTTTTTGTTTGTTTTTGCTTTTTACATATACATACTGTGACATGTGGGCTTTTATTATAGTTTTTAATGTTTCTATTTTTGAGAGACAGAGTGTGAGCGGGGGAGGTGCAGAGAGGGGAGACACAGAGTTGAAGCAGGCTCCAGGCTCCGAGCTGTCAGCACAGAGCCTGACGCGGGGCTCGAACCCACAAACCGTGAGATCATGACCTGAGCCGAAGTCGGATGCTTCACTGACTGGGCCACGCAGGAGCCCCGTGTGATGTGTGTTTTATGAGTCAACTCGGCTAGGCTCCAGTTACTCCAAGACTAACCTAGGTGTTACTCTGGGATATTTTGTTGATATTCCTACAGGTCCATAATCAGTTGACGGTTAGATTCTAGATAATCTGGGTGGGCCTGATCCAATTAGTTTAAAGGAAATAAGAACAAGGGAGCTTCTACAGAGATGCTTCCACTTGGGGACTGAAGCATCTCGGCTCCTGCCCTAACGTCCCAGCCCGCCCTTTCCGACAGCCAGCACTCAGATTCCAGACTTGCTTTGCTGAGCCTACAGTCATGTAAGCCAACCCGTTAATATATATCTCTGTTTCTCTTTTGCTGGCCCAACTCTACTGGACTCTTTCCTACAGATGGCTCAACCCTCTAAAAAGCATTTCATAAATCATTGGTAGTAGGAGGAAAGCTTTTAGACAAAGAAAGACCCATGCCTTTGCTAGACTTATTTTACTGGAATGTTCTCAATTCCTTAAAGTGGTGGAATATTCTATATGTTAGTAAATAAACACTGGAGAGTATGAAGTAATGAATCCCAATCAGTCCTACGTTTTAAATGGTATTTTCTTTGCTTAAATTTTAATGATTAAAAATTTACAGTGACACTTCTTTTGTTGAAATATGTGGAGTAAAAAGTTCCCTCTCCGGAACAGATTTTCTCTCTGGATATAACCACAGTTGATAGTTCGGATTTTATCTCTTCAGCCCTTTTGCTTAAGTGTATATTTATGAATATGTATCTGTATATGTAAAAACAAAAAGTATGTATACATATACACATACATACCCATTAAAGCATCAATGAGATCAAACTATATGAAACATTTTAAAAGTTTTTTTGGGGGGTGCCTGGGTGGCTCAGTCGGTTGAGCGTCCGACTTCAG